CCATGGTGAGACTACTCCAAAACAACAGTCCCTCCTGCCGCCTCCAGCGCCGCTTTGATCTTCTCTGCTTCCTCCTTGGAGGCGTTTGCCTTGATCTCCTGCGGAAGGGACTCCACCAGCTTCTTCGCCTGCGGGAGGGACAAAGTACAGGTCTCGTAAACTCCCTTTCGCTAACTGGATTATCGGATTTAGAGCCATGAGCCTGACCTCTGCCTAAGCTGACCAGGGAAACTCACCCACAGGTACAAACCCCCAAGACTTTCACTTGAACTACAGCACATTCTGCTGAAGGCGGTAAACCTGACTGAGTGACAGCACATCCACTGGGAAACCTTTCCCAGTGATTCACTGCTCACAAATTCCTCCCACCACGTGCCTGGTTCTCCCAGATGTGCACCCCCAGCCTGCAGAGGTGTGGGTGCAGGCACAGCCTCACACAGGGACCTGCCAAGGCAGTGACTTGCTGAGGCAGTGGCTGTCTGGCCCTGGGCCGGCTCTGCTCAGGGCCAGTGTTTTGGTTCACATAGTTCTGCCAGCGGGAGGGGAGGCCAGTGGAGGGTTTGGACACAGCTGCACTGGGTAAAACAGAGCTCCAGCACAGACTGTGCTTGGCAACACAGTATTTTGACATCTTAGGGACTTTCTAAGCAAAACTACGGGTACTAAGCAGTGCTGCAATACTTCAGGCAAGCTGAAAAGCTGTGGAGCTGATTTAAGGGACTTACTGCAGCACTGCTGCAGAGAGGGAATGGAGCCTGGGGGAACAAGCCCCTGCTGTGGTCAGACCCTTCTGCTCTTACACCAGGCAGCAGCAATGAAGCTGTTTGGCTCCTCCAAACAAAACCTGGGTGGTTCCCAGGCATGGAGGCAGTGCCACAGCTCTCAGCCAGGGCACTGTGGGGGTTTAACACCCACCAGAGCAGCTGCTGCTGGCAGAGAGGTTCTGTCCTTTTGATTCTAGCTGGGTGCAGTGATGATGTGGCTGTGGTGGCAGAAAACGCTTTCCTTGCCAGGGGTGAGCAGGCACAGCTGCATAGGCAGCGCTTGGGGGGCAGAAATGCCTTTGCTCACCCAGACAGGATTTGGATAGACGCCTGGACTGGACAGGTGATACAGCCCAGGTTATTTGTTTCGGAACTCTGCTCACCAAGGTGTGACTCCATTCTAAAAGGTTGTGGGAAACAGCTGTTCTCAGTGGGAGGAAGAGCAGGGCCTGAACCAAGCGGGATCCATGGGGCAGAGGCAGCACCTTCCCAGTGCAGCCAGAGCCCAGGGCTGGCAGCGACACAGGTCAGTGTCTGCCTGGCAGCTCCCAGTGAGCTTCCTGAGGTGCAGACAGCCTTATGGTCCAGTGTGTTCTGACCACACACCTGTCTCATTACACAGCTGTTGCCACAGGACTGACTTGTTTGGAACCCACCAGCACTCAAAGTCCTCACCAGCTGTGCTTCCTTCCAAAGGGCAGATTCCCTGCAAACCTCATCAAAACCCGTGGACTGGATGGCCACGAAATTTATAATAGTGCATCAGTTTCACTCTGAACACAACCTCTGCAGGCAGAACCACCATCAGAGGCTGTTTGGTGTGTGTGTGTTTTAACCAAAGTACCAGGGCAGGTACATCACACTGGACAGTTTGCTCACAGTAACTGACTCCTACAAACAGTTTGTCTGACAGGTGTCAGTGCTAAGCCAAGCTCACTGAGCTCTCCAGTTAATTATCCACCGATTGTATCCGTTACAGTGTTTGGTATTTTCATGTCTGCTTGGGACTGATAATGGATGAACAAGTGCCAGAGGAACCAGGCTGACAGTCAGATAATTACCCTCGTGGGCAGCCAAACTTGCACCTGTGCTACTGAGTTTCTTTGCTGGCTTTGCAATACAGCAACAGGAATGGGCCAGAAGATTATCTGCAAACCCTTCTGCTATCCCAGGCTACAACAGCAGCAGACTCTGCAGTGCTCCACATCGCAGCTAGATAAACCAAAAACACTACTATTAACCCCAAGATACAGAAGCATCACCCAGTGGAGAACTGCAGCAAATTAAATGCTTCTGCTGAGTCCACACCCTGACTCAAGGGCATGAGCTCAGATGCTGCCCAGGGCTGTGAGAGGCCCTTTTCCTCCCAGGAAAGAGGAGGAAGCACCACCTACAAATAGAGCACTGGAAAGGGCTTGGAAACCTAGATTGAGAGATGTGTGAATTAGAGAAACTCATCAAAATTCAGAAGTACATTTGCCTCAGGAAAGGAAAGGCAAATCCAGCTATAGTGAGGGATCCTGGCTACTCCCAATCTCTGCAGGAAAGCTCACAGCAGCTCTCAGATTTGGAGAAGCTTAGGCTGGCACAGAGGACTCTGAGATCCTTGAGCCTCCTGCTTCATCCCCCCACTCCTGCCAGGGGAAAACGCCAAAGATGCAACCAAATAGTGTTTTGCACCTCATCCATGTCTCCACACTGAGGCACAGGCTGGCTGTGCTCCTGCACACACAAATCCAGGCTCTCTCTGAACAGAGAGCTGAGGCTGCAGGACCCGTTCAGGCCTGGGGGGACACTCCAGAACCTGGAGCAGCCTCTTCTCACCTGCACGAGGTTTACTCCTGGCACGAAGTTCTTCACCTCCTTGATCAGCTTCACCTTGTCCGCGGGTTTCAGCTCTGTCAGCCGCACAGTGAAATGTGTCTTCTCTTTCTTGAGCGGGACCACCTCCTCCTCCTCCTGGAAGCAGCCGGAGCGCGGTGAAACCCCG